TTTGTACAATCATAGAAGGCAACTAATGAGACACTTTAGAAATTTTTGTAAGGGACTAGGTCGTTTTACCGAAGGCAACATCGAGGGACTACGATCTTTTTTTATCGAAGGGTCTTTGCTAAAGCGTCCCAAATTCGAGGGACATGACTGTGTTTCCGAGGCAACGGGCGAGGTTACCCTAGAGGTGCGCGTGTGAAAAAGTGTGTTTGATTCAAGTTATTTTTTGTCTTTGATTAGGGTTATCTAGCGATTGATTTTGAATCTTGTCATGCACGCCTAATTACTATACAGTATAAGGAAAGCAGTAAATTGCAGAAATTAAAATTCTACGCTATTACAGAGCTTTCGGGAGTGGGGAGTACAAATTTACAAATGGGGGTGGATCAAATCGACAATGCAATTAAAAGTCTAAATAAACAAGCAATACAATCCAATTGAATAAACAGTTAATTAAACTAAACAAATCTATAAAATAAAATAAATTAGCAAAGTAAAAATATGAAAATAGTATTCTTGGTATTTTTTGTTTGTATTATGAAGAAATTAAACAATTTAAAAGAATGTTAACTAACCAATGTTAATTAATAAAATTATTCACAAAGTCCTAAACTAAATTAATTCTAAACAAAAATTAAAAATTAAGAATATAAAAATTCTAAGATTTGTGGAAAATTAAATATAATTTTAACAACAACTAAATTATATCTAAATTACTTTATATGTAAACTAAATTAATTATAAAATTTCTAAATCACAATTAACCTAATTCATTCTAAAACTATTATTTTAAAACTAAACTAAATTATTTAACAAAAGAAAGGTGTGAGACAAGAAATTGGAGGGGAAGAGTAACAATTTCGAACGGGCTTGCATTGTGAAAATGGAGGTAAGGCCCAAATTCCATCCAAACAAAAACTAGACAAGCTAAAAAAAGTTGTTATTGGGCCGGATCGGGTTGGCCTGGATCCGAATCCAACTAGAGGGGAAACAGGTTTTTTTTTAAAAGAACCCTAATTGTGGGGGAATAGGCGCCGCTGGGTATGTTTTTTACGAGTAAACGTCAAAAGAACAAAACAAAGATTTCTCTTATGTCCTCACGCTCAAGAACAAAACAATTCTCCATTCCAAAAAAATTACTTTACCGGTTTCCAACCTCTCTCTATTCATCTTTCTCACACTTAAATCATCTTTGTTCTCTAATTGAAACAACTCCCAATTCAAACCCTAAATATACAAACTTGAAGAAATCACATGATAAAGTATGAAGCAGCTGCAGTAAAGTTTGATGAGCAAGGATATCAAAGAAAATCAACGGAAAAAAAAGTCAACACAGTGGTGAATCGGATCCCCCAAAGGACTTAACCTCAGGTACGAACGAAATTTTTGCTTCTTTCTTCCGCTGAATCTCTGAGTTATTTCTTCTTCAAACCTATGCTTTTTGGATTAGCCGCTCCATGTTATTATGATCGTTCTTCTCTCTGTGGTCTATTTCTATTTTATCTGCGATTTGTGTTGTTATTTGTCACTGTTGATGGTTCTAAGCGTGTTCTAATTTTAATGTTATTTGTTGGTTTGTGGTTTGACCACAGTACTGCTTAGGGGTTGAGCCGAACTAAATTTGGAGCTTCAATCGTACTTTTTGTGAAGGGTTTGAAACCCGTAAAGTTGTTGCACAGGGTTCTTTGTTCCAGAGCTTTCGGTCCCCTTCGAAGATGAAGGTTACAGACATAAGTGAGGGGTTCTTGGGTAAGTGTCGAGCTTATGGCTCAATCTATTCAGCATATATCCTAACTTTATGAAAAAAACTTGATCTTCTTAGGAAAAGAAACATATTCACCAATTTTTTGGGGTTTTAATAATTTTATCTAAGCATTTGTGGTTATCAATTATTTTTTGCAAGAACAAACTGTTTTATGATGGAGCAGTCTAGACAGAAGTATGTTAACAAGAAAACGTCATAGCACAAAGGTCTCAAATAGATAAACACACAAGAAATAAGATGAACCAGTAAATGGCATATGCAAAGTGACTTACCTCAAAGCTGACACCGGTGAAAGAATAGCAAACCAAAGGTGATGAGATGTTCTTTAATCCTTCCTCCTTTGAATCTAACTTCTGGTGTGTAAGCAATAATTTGAGTGAAACTTGAATGATAGGGGTTTGGTAAAAAGTGGAGTATATATGTTAATATTGGTGGGTGATGTTTGTTGGAGCTGTTGTGGTTTCGGTTGGTAAAGGGGTTAAGGGGTCTGATGCAGTTTCAAGAAAGTGATGGTGAGTATATATTGAAACAAAGGTTTTAAGGTGAATGGTTGATTTTCTGATTTTGTATTATCTTCGCCCACTCCTGCTTATGCTGGCTATATCTTTTTTATATACAGTCCCATTGCATTTTTGGGGGGAAATTAGATAATTTTGAACACTTTTGGTTAACTGACCTTGTGGCCTTTGGGTGCAGAATTTTGGACTGTTTTGGAATGCTGACTTGATGCCTTTTGAGTGCAGTTTAAGGCATGTCTATTTTGGTGCAAATTTTTGCAGGTTTTGGACTGAGGTATAGCAGCCTGTGGACTCTTGTACTTGGACTATTTGAACAGAAAATGCAGCAGGTTGTGCAAGCTGCCTTTGGCAGTTTTATGGACAGTTTTGGTTTAGGTGATATCCCTCTAAACCTGTCTCTTTTCCTCTTTCTCTTTCAACGATGATGTAAAGCCACTTTGCTTTTACTTCAAGATTTATGAAGGGTTTGTATGATTTCAGGAAAATGATGATGTGCTTGTTTGTTGAGCAAGCTTGCTATTTTTTGAATGAAATACTGCTTACTATTTTGCTGTTGCTGGACAGTTTTGGCCATTGGGCTGTGTTTTGCATGTTTTTATTTGTTGCCTACTGCTTTCTTTATGTTACAGGCTTGGCCTGCTGTTCAGTTCGTATATTTTGTTGTATGTTTGATCCACTTCCCTATTTGCTACATGCTTCGGACAACCTTGCCTTGCAGCTTTAACTTGCATGCTATATTTTTCAGCATCCTGCCTTTGTTTTGCTTGCTTGTGTTGCTTGTTGGACTTGCTTTTACCTTGTGCTACTTGTATAGTAGCATGTTGTTGCTGTTACATTAGTTGTTGTTTCTATGCTTGCTCTGTTTGCTGGTTTTGCATTACAGCCTGTTTTGTGTAGCAGTTTTCATATTTTGGCAGTAAAAAGTGTTTGCAAATTTTCTTTTCCATTTTTGTGAACCAAGGCCCAAACCTTGTGATTTACAAAATAGGAGAAGATGGACTATGATTAAAACAAAAAAAAACTTTAAATCTGATTCCATATACAAACCCTAATGATGAATTCTTTTTCTCTTCTTTACACATCATTTTGCTTGAATTGCTAACTTTCTCTTCTTGGTTTCATGAACATGAGGCGTGGATGGCAAGCGAGGATTACTTGAAGATGAAGTAATGGAGACTTGAAGAAACAAAATAAAAGTTCTCTCTTTGTAGACGATAAATTTGTGATTCTTTGTAAACAAAACAAAAATAACTTGTAATTTATTTCATTTGTAATGTAATGAATACAAAGCCTTGAATAAATTTGGTGTAATGAAATTTATTGTACAAAACATAAATTTACTTAAACTTTGCAATTCTCAATTGAACATTTTGGATTAAAACATCTTGGTTTGATAACTTGGATTTCAAGCAATCACAAAATGATCAAATAACCAATGCGCCTTGTACTCCAATCAAATTTCTAAACAAAATAAATGTTTAAGAATTCAATTATAACTTAGTTAACTCAAACCCAAAGCCATGGCCATCTAAATGACAGTCTTAATCTTCACCTCTTGTCCACACCAAATTTGTATTCAAAATGAAACTCGCATGCCATGCTCGATAAAAATGGAACTTCATTTCCAAACAATCATGCTTTGAGAACAATCATTAACCTTAACAAATTTCAAAAACAATGATGATTAAGAACACTTGAAATCAAACAAGTGACTTGCAACGATTCGATAGCTTTCAAAGTCTTCCCAACTCAATTTTCTTTCGATCTTTGAAGATAAACTCGTGTGCAACATCACCTATGACCATATGTAGAAATAATTGTCTCAAGACCTCGTAATTTGAGGAAATCATAATTCTTAGAAATCAGGCGACAGTTATTTAAGATTAGGTCAAAATCCATGAAGTGACTTTTAACGCATTCGAATTTGGTGATCTTCTACACGTAATTAGCTCTTGATTTGTGAAGAGAAATTGGAGATAACATTGAGGAGAGTCAAACGCAAAAAGAACCGCTAAAAAAAATATCTAATAATGAAGAAGTTACAGTCGCTTGAACTTTGTCTCGCAAAAGGTCAGCTTTTGGGTTAATGGAGTCATTTTTAGTCGTCTGAACCATTGACTGAGCAAACTTGTAACGCGAGGTTCGAAACTCAGCATGAACATCCTTGAGGAGACATGAAGATTTATGAAGACCATTTGAAACCTTGAAGAATCAATTTTCTTTGAGAAACGTCAAACCCTAATCGTTGACTTACTGCTTAGGAAGAGAATTTGTCTGATCAAACTTCTGAGCCAAATTGAGTATTCGAGAAGACCTAGGATAGTATCTTGAATAAAAAAATGAGAGGGCAAATTTTGGGGTACAACAATCACAAAGCAAATTTAATTGAAAAATGATAACAAAATAAGGCATCCAGAAGACTATATTCTTTTGTTTCACACAAACCTTATCATATTATCTTTTTTATATAAAAATATAAAAGAGTACAATTGATTTTATAAATAATCATAATTTGTAAATATATAATTAATTATATTTCTCACTCATAAATGTAGAAACTAATCACATAAATTGGAATTAGTCTCCTTGACATCATCATGAGAATAATTATTAACATTCTTCTTTGAAACTAGAGCAAAGTCAATTTCAGTCCTAGGAATTTGTTGACTCCCTGACCCATTGATTTGATCATTTGTCATGGAAAGCAAAACAAACTTAAATTAAGATTTTGCACCATTTTGATCATGATCAGCCTCTTTCACTTCATCTATCTTCGACATTTCCCATCCATTGATATTTTTCATATCAACCTTACAAGCTCCAGTGCTAAAGCTCAGTTTTCCCCTTGGATGATGAGGGATTGGCCTAGGATTAATCCCATGTATGACATTTAGCTCATGTTGGTTACCACATTGATGTCCTCCTAGTGCTTGACGAGCTTCATATGTTTTTTCACAAAATGCACATGAGTAACGAGCAATTTTCCGAGTTGAATCACCCTCCTTGACCATGATCGATTTTCTCTTATTTTGACTCTCCATATTGGTCAAGAGAAATTGAATCGATGAAAGTTTTGTGTTTTGTGAAGAAATTGTGTGAATTTAAAAACAAATAAATGGAAATCTAGTGTATCCATATGTCACATATATTAAATGTAATAAGTTATTTTTTTATGAATTTATTTTATTTAAAAAATAATAAATATTACATAAAACTAACACACAATGATAAAAATTTGAGTTTAAGTTCAAATAATACAATTAAATAATACCGACATTATCAATTGAATTTCGGTCATCTTTAATATGGTATTTTGTTTTTTTTTTGTTTTTTTAAGCAAGTCAAACAAATCCGAAAATGTATATAAATGGTCATTATTATCTTCTAAATAATTCAAAAATAAAGTTCTTTATTTTTCTAAAAGAAAAGTGGAAACATCCATTGCTCTTGCAATATATGCTAGTAATTAAATTTTAGGGCCGTTATTATGGGCATGCAAAGTGGGTTACTTCACATAATTAAAAACTTGTCATAATTAAAATGTAATTAAATAAGATCTCATAAAATGTAAGTCACTATTAAATCATGGTTAAATAAGATCCATGTTTTTTGTAGTTTGGTTTAACTACAATTAATCTTCACAATGCCTCCAAAAAATAAAACAACTCTGTTAAATTTACATCAATATCTGATAAAAGTTAATATTTTATGATTGTTTTTAAATTGTAATTTCGCTGGGGTAATGCAAGCTACAATTGGACTAAGAATTATAAGATAATAGTTGCATGAATCTTTTCTCTTATATATCCAACATTTTCTTCGTTTATAATTCATGTAAAACTCAATCATTCACACTTTTATTTCAAATAATAGTTACTTTCAGGAGGGAAAATTTGGGGTGCAACAGCTGCCCTTGTTTAATCATCTTACACCTGAATGTGAGATTGGCACTAGCCTTTTGAACATTCGAGGTAGAAGAAGATTAAGTACCAAAAGAAACCTAAAGTTTTCACTCTAAGGATAAGAGAAAGGTATATTGATTTTTTTTGGTAGTTTTGTGTGCCTCTATTAACAAGCTTTGGCAAGTAAGGATAAAACTTCTACTGGTGAACCAACACAATTGGATTTGAAAAGGATGTGTTAGACCCCAATTTTTTCCTTAAGATCTCTCACTATCTCATGTTATCAATACATCAAGATTATACATTAGAGTTGATTTTCCCTTTTACTTCATCGTATCTTTAAGTTTTCTCTTGAGGGATCACCGAGTACCTTGAATTGTGTATCTTGTACATGTGCATCTCATGTTGATTAACTCTGAACTAACATCAAAATATGTATATATCTTTCTTTGGATGTTTATATTGTAGGTGATGACACAATTGCATCCATCTCACTATCTAACCTAGGATTTTGAGGGGTAGTCCACAATCAAATGGTTGTTCAATGAAATTCAAGAGTTTGAGCTTCAAGGCTATGATAATGACATCACAATTCTTTAGTTTAAAGAAATCTCTCAATTTCATATAAGGCTAAGCTTACTTCAAAGATAATGGCATTCATTAAGAATATTCATAGGTTCAAGTGTTTATTTACATGCCTTCTTCAACAAATTTCATTTAGACTTAAGCTCCATCTTTGAGTGTTCTTCAAGACAATATCATTTCAATGTATAATGTGATCCATCATGCTTTATTTTGCAAATAAAGTTCAAAAGATTCAAGGTTGATTCAACAAGGTTTACCTAATTGAGCAAGTATTTTATTTAGTGATCACAAGTGCATAACTCTCTCAATTTTCAATATTTTGAGTTGTTTCTTTTTTCTATGGGTTCTTATCATCATCTGCAACAACTTCAATTCACATGATTAGATCCAATTGTGCAAGAAAAATCATCAAAACATTGAAAGGGGTTCCAAGTTATTTTGACACTCTCTGAGCTAGAGTTTGCTGACTTCCAAGAACCATATCTTTCTCATTGTTTGAGATTTTTGATTTATTCCAAAGCCATTATTCTCTTTGAAGAGTCCTTAACAACCTTTCTTCAAGGATCTAAGGCTAATTTTGAATGGAAGATCAATAATGGTTGAAGAAGATTACAAGTCCTTTGAAAAGGTTATTAAATTCTCTTGTGTGACTTCAAATGATCATAACTTAGTCAATTTTTATCTCCTTGAGTTCATTCATTTTCTACAATAATCTTTGGGATGTCTACTACAACTTTTTTTTAAGGTGCTAGGCTTAAAAATGCTTGAAAAGTCATTAAAGAATTGAAAAGATTATAGGTCTTTTGTGAATTTTCCCAAATTAGTTCATCATCTTCCAAAGACCATAACTCTTTCAATTTTTATGATTTTTAAGTGATCTCAATTCCATAATTCAATTAAAAGGGTTTACTTCATTTCATCTTTAAGGATCAAGATCAAATTTTGAGTGGAAGGGCATGTAACTTTGAAGAACATTATAGGTCATTTTGAGTTCCATACTTTGAAATTTTCTAAGTGTCAAATATCAATGTGTTTTTACCAATTTCAAAATGATGTAACTTTGTTCTAAATGCTACCTTTCTTGGTACATTGTAAAGTTTGTTATGAGATCTCTCCAATGCAAAAAATATGAGACCATAAATCCTCCTACATTTTGTGCCCCATGCTCTTGAAGTTGCTTCCACAAAACTGAGTTTTTGCTTGATGTCAGAATTTGATTTTCATAATGTGCCTTCTAATGACCAATTTTGTGCGTATTTTTCACTTAAACATGTTTAAAAAACTTGCCCAGACTTGTTTGAGCATCAAAATGCATGAATTTAGTGAGTTTTGATGCTAAGCAAGTCACATTTTTCTGATTTTCGGGCTTCACTCAGTTTCCCTCCAAACCTCACTATTTCTTCCAATTCTTTTCACCATTTAATTCTCCGATAAATATAGACCCTATTCCACTCATTTCCACAAGCTTTGATATCCAGAACCACCCTTCCAAGATCCCGAATGAACTCTTGAGCTTGAATTTCAATTTCTCATTTTCTCACCTTAATTCACAAAAAGCTCCACTCAGTTAGCTTCATTGACACTCATTAAACCTAACCAGACCATTAACAAGAAGAATCATGCACAAAATCGAGTTACAGAAGTTCAGTTGCAGAGCCGATTTAATGAACTTCTTTCAGATAGACTTCTCCATCATTTCACTTCAAATAAATTGCTAAGATGTAGTCTCTTCTTCTTTGAAGCTCATGCTTCTTCTGGTTTCCATTTTCATGGTGAGTTGATCATTTAATTGCAAAACTCGTTTTCACTTTTTCTTCAGGTTTTTTCCAAATCGACTGAGCTGCAAGTTAAATAAATATTTCGCGAGGGTACTATTGTCTTCGTCTAGATGAGACGAATCGAATGGCACCGGCCTGGACCTCTAATTTTTCTCTTGGATTTGATTACTAACACATTTTGATATTGATCAGATGGTCCACATTTTTATGGTTTATTATTTTATTTTTTTATTTTTGTTTTAATTGTTTTAAACTTCAAAAAAACATTAAAAAATTCATTTCAACTTCTAAAATTGTGAAAAAAATTATCAAAAATACTTTTGATTTTTTTCTTTCTAATTTTTATTTTTTCATAATTTTATTTTATGATGTGATATTTTTTGTGATTTTTCTCATTCTTTTGATTTATTTAATTGTTTAAAAATACTTTTTGATCTTTTAAAATTCTGGAAAAAAATTATGAAAGGATCCAATGACTTCTTGACAAATATTAGGGACCTGATTTTTTTTAAAATATTTTTTACAAATTTTGGTTTATTTTACTTATTCTTTATATTTAAAAAAAATAGTTCCTGACTTTTGAAAATTCTATAAAAAAAATTCAATACTTGTCGATTCATGTTTGACCTCTGATACTTTTTTGGGATTTTTATTTGGTATTTTAATAGACTTTGTGTATTTTACCAATTATTTCTTTTTTTATTGATCATTTAAATATTGTTGGAAAATACTCATTTTGGTCCCTTAATTATAGGTCATGGTTCACTTTGGTCCCTTATCTTTTTTTCGTGCCAAATTGGTCCCTTAATTTTCAAAATGATGCAAACAAGTCCCTACTGTATACTCCGTTAGTCAAAGTCTATTAAAAGTCTACGTGGCACATTTGACCAATGTAAGTGATGGAGTTAGCATCGGAAAAACCGACGCTAAAAGTTATTTCTGGATTTTAATTGTTGTGGTTCACCTACTTTCCCAAAAAGTGATTTTCATCTTCTTCCCTTGTTAGTTTGTTGAACTCCCTTGGGAGTGAGATATCATTTGGGAAAAAGAAGAACAGAGAAACGGCGGATAACTATTTGCTCCAATCCCTTATCCTCTTTTGATTTTACACTTGGGAAAGAAACTAGGTTTCTATTTTTCAGCATTATGGTGTGGTCCGTGTCAAAGATTCACACCAACATGGGTGGAGGTGTACAATGAACTCTCTCAAAAGGGTGAATTTGAGGTTGTTTTTCTCTCCGCTGCGAAGATGATGAGGCCTTTCAGAGCTACTTCTCCAAGATGTTGTGGTTGGTTGTACCCCATTCTGATTGAGAGACACACAGTTGTCTTGATGATTTGTTTCATGTAAACGTCATTCCTCATCTTACATTGCTAGATGAAACTGGAAAAATTGTTGTTAAAGATGGGGTTGACATTATCCATGAATATGGAGCTGAAGGATACCCTTTCACATCACAAAGGGTTCAGGAGTTGAAAGATCAAGAAGAGGAAGCTAAGAGGAACCAGTCCTTGAAGTCTATATTGGTCTCTAGATCTCACGACTTTATGATATCTGCAGATGGAAAAAAAAGTAAGCTAGCAACATCTCTATGTATGATATAATTGTTGCTTATGTAGAAAAAATTGCTCCTTTTCGATTTTGTTTTCTAAGTTTAAAGCAATATTAACTATGGTTTTTGTCAATAATACCTTTCGCTAGTTATCGCAAATGAAGAAATAGGTATAATGAGATAAGAAATGGTTGAGGATGTTATAAGAAACATACAAATAGTT